TTCATAGATTTTCCTTTGTCTATCTCTCTCTTTACAAATATTATATAAATTACTGCAACATATGTTGTTTTGGAGAATCCATTTTTTGTGCTTCCCATACAACTGGTGCTAGGACGACACAAAGCAGCCGACAAACAAACACACACACAAAGAGGAAATCAAATGGGATTATCTCTTTATGTAGTAGTTTGGCAAACAGAACAAAAAAACACAGAACATATCAAATGATGATGCATAATGGCTCAACAATTTATGACAAAAAACGTCAACTTTAACAACAGCAGTGGCAGCAGCAGTGGCAACGGCAATAGCAACTATGTTTTTTAGTTTCAACAAATACGAGTAGCAACAAAAACAATACTACTCTCCAACATTGTTGTGTCATTGTTGTTATGCGGAAATTTTTATCAAATTTTCCTCTTGTTTTGTTGTTGTTGTTGTCGCTGTTGCTGCTATTTAAGAGCGATTACCCCCCTTTAACTTTGCGTTTAACTCAGCTGCAAAATTTATATAATGAAACAAAAGGAAAACTTTCCATTTATGTTTTTTTTCTGTTTCTTCTTGTTCTTGTTTTTGTCATTTGGATTGTGTCTTTTGTTTCTTTTACAGAGACAGAGACAGTATTGCCAACGAAACACAATGTATCACAACAATGTGATGCGAATGTGTGTAGCACTTACACCTACATACTTTCACTTCTTACGAACGCAAGTGAGAGATCCTTGTTGTTGATAGAAAACACATACCCCACACACACCCACACGAAATAAGTGGCTGAGCCAAGTTGTCTCCATTGTGTGACGAAGAGGAAACATGTGTTTCATTCGTTTTTTTTTTTTTTGCTTCTTCACTTTCTTGTCCTGCTTGTAGTCATAAAATTATCCTTACATAGTTGAACGTTAATTTAATGTGATAACTTTGTGTATAGGTGTTTTACGTGTGAGTGTGTGTTTGCTTTTGTATGTGTTCTGTTCAATGGAATTATTTAATGACTGCATTGTATTTTTTTTGTGTGTGTCTTCCAGGTAATGTGATTATCAAACAGAAGTTTGTTTTCTATCAAATCCTTAACTTTTTTCTTGGCACATAATTAACTTGCTTGAAGAGTGTTTTTTATAAAATTTAGGGTGTGGGGGTGAATTGGGGAACGAAGGCAAAAGTTGTCAGTATTATGTTTTATACTCTACAACACCATATGTTGGTGGTATTACATGTTTAATCGGGGCAAATTATGCGAAGCATGGTCTTCAAATGGCGAATGAAACGCAATGACACGCTGCCCGAATGTTGCTGTGCGGTATTTTGGCCCATTCCCGGCGAAGCACTTGCTTGAGGTGATCGATACTTTGGTATTTTTTAGTGCCAACCTTACTTTTCAAAATACTCCACACACAATAGTGCAACAGATTGGAATCCGGAAGTTTCGGGGGACCATTGTGCGCTGGAAATGAAGCGAGGAACCTCATTTTGTAACTATTTTTGGGTGGGTCTGCGGCCAAAATATTTGCGTGCCCAAGGTATTAATACACCCTCCAGAATATTTTCGCTATAATATTCGGCATTTATTCTAATACGAGCGGAGAGCGAGAGTGCCGGCGATGTTGATGGTGTGGGCCGCCATTCATCGGCTGTTATGGCAGTCCACACCATCACCATGGCCGGCACTTGAGTTCTGGTGGCCAACCGGAGGTGCACATTTTCAGCTGACCTCGCTTGGGTTCTGGTGCACATTTTCGCCTGACCTCTTTTGTTTGTTAACAAACTGCTGGACAAGGAAAGTTTTCTCATCGGAGATAACCAAATTCGACAGTTCGCCACTTTCGGCCAAGCGAAGGAACTATTTATCTCTTTTGAGTCTATTTTCTTTCCGTTGCGGTGTAAGTTCTTGCACTTTTTTGAATTTGAATGGCTGTACCCCGAGCTTATTTTTCAATATTTGCTGAATGGAATATTGCTGATGTTGCAGTGTGAAGTAGGTTGCAGTTTTTTCATCTAGAGATCCATTTTCAATATCAATCAACCTTCATATAATATAAACGTTTGTGCTAAATTTCAAAGCTCCAGATTAAGTATTGTGGACTATATCGTGATTTGGACGGACAGACAGACGCTTCATAACCTTATAATTGTGTTCTGATTAGGAATATGTATGCTTTTTGGGCTCTCCGGCGAATATGTCGAGATGTTAAAAACGGAATAACAAATTTAACATATTCTCCATTGTATGGTGAAGAGTATAAAAATGTTGAATATTCAGCAACTATTTCCAATATCTATTTATTTTGACTCTTTCTCCCCGTAACTGATCGGAATGAAAACACGACAATTAAATCAAAAGATGTCTCTCATGGGATCAAGAATACCCCTGGAGGTGGTGCAATTTTCTTAACAGCTACAACACTCTCGAGATCATACTTTGAAGTAACTGAGAAGTCCATTAATCAAGGACAACAATTTTTAGTCACCTACTTCCTCTGCCATTTGGGCAGAAATAGGCTGCCGTAAAATCTCACCTCTGGCTATGCGGAGAACGCTAAATCCCTACCCAAATATTAAATAGTCTTGCAAGAGGACTTAAACCAAAAAAGTGTTCCTTCGAATGGCGGTCAATGACCATGAGGGGAGCAAAATAAAATGTCGGGGCGGGGGACTTCTTAATCTAAATCTCTTCCGTACCATCTTGGAAAGATGAAATTAATTTCGAAAATTGTGTCCAGTGGATAGGAAGTCTTCTCTTAGATACGAATTTAAGTCATCCATCTTCTCATGTCATCAACCAGAAAGAAATGAATTTCAAACCCAAGTATTCGGAGGCATTAAAGACATGTATCTAGCAGAAAGGAGAAGTATTTCCAAAAAAAGTGAACCTAGACCACCTTTGTAGGAGTTCGTTGAGAAAGCTGACCCTAGAAGCTATCTACTTTTCTTTTCATCAGCCAGAGAAAAAGACTTCGGGAGTTGGTAACCTCACTGCAACTTTTGCAAAGGCTTTTATATGGAGCCTTGACCATATACAAAGGCAGATATATTTCGCAACATTTAATATCGAGTTTGGAAAATTTGTAGAGATGTTTAGGTCAGTACTATAAAATAATAAATCGAGATTTTAAGTGTATTTTAAGCTTTTGTCATATTTTCCATTTAATTTTGCCATATTTTTGGATTTTGTAGTGTCGCTACTAGTAGAAAAGTATTATTATAGATCCGCTCTTCGATATGGACCATATAAGTTTTAAATAGCCTCTTCTATTCTGGTCAAAGTTTTACCGACCAAAGAAAACCCAACTCGAAACAAAATTTTACTCAAAACTTTATTGTGGCTGAAAGTAGCTAAAATATAATGTCTCCAGAAATTTTGCACTTTTTCAAAACAAAAAAAATAATAATAATAATAAATTAAATAAATAAATACCTGTTGTTTTATGGCCATACAAAAGTGAATGCAAAAGAAAAACAATATTCCAAATTAGTTTTTCATATTTTTGAAGTTAAATTCAAAATTTGAATAACCTATTTTCGTTTCTTCATATAAAAACAGGGCCTAACTCTTCGATTTTATCGTCCAAAAATCATAACCCAACTAATTTGAGATGTAAAAATATTTTTTATTCCAACATTTTATCTAGAGTCCATCAAAGTAATACCTCTTTCTGGGGAATTTGATTTTGAACTGATATTTCTTTATCTATGGGGTTTGGGATTGCAGTTGGTAGTAGGTGTGAAGAAAAATACCTTTAATATTGCCTTAAAAAAATACGATTTCACTACAAACCCTATTAAAAATTTAAATTTTTTATCAAAATTAAAAAAAAAATAAAAAATTGTGTGCTAATTGGTTTTTGGTTATAACTTCATTTTGGCCTTTCATGCCACTCAAATTGGTTTCATTGAGGTCGTATTCGTAATCACCGTTATTGAATAATTGAATTGGAAAAAAAATATGTGTATTTCCCTTAACTCCTTCAACATCATTGAATTTTATTTGAATTCTCATTTCAATATCAGACAAAATGCAATTAAGCGAATTTATTTTGCCATTTCATTTATTGCGAAACAAAAAAACCAAAACGATAAACAGCTAAAGTTCGAAACGAAATTCTAATTCAATTTTCTCTTATATTTTTGTTCTTCTATTTCTTTTTGATATTTTCCCTACCCCCCAACAATAAATAATAACAAAAAAATATTATCCCTTTACCCAATAACGATCGACCGAACGACCAACCAACAACCAATCAACTAACCTAACAACCAATAAACGCTTCAAATTTGAACGAAACGAAACAATTTTCAATTATATAACAATGGTGAAATAAAAACCAATAAACTAAAATTGTAATTCTTGCGAAATACACGCTGAAAACGAAACAAAACCAACAACAACTGAAACTGCAAAAATAACCAACTTCAACTGGCAAAAAAAACCGAAAATAAATAAAATTTACAACAACACCTTGACATATTCAACCAACCAAAAAAAAAAAAAAAACAACTTTACCTGGCAACAATGCTTAAATCTTTTGGAAAAAATTGTTTTTTCTTCCACTCTTTTTTTTGGAAACAAAAATCACCTTTACATCCTTGGGAAAAACACGATGGGTTGTTGCAAATATTGGCGCATTGCTTGGGCACAATCAAACCGCTTGATGCCAACCAAACAACTACAACTTCATGCTGCGGGTGGGGAAATAATTTTTCTTTTTTTTCAATGGAAAACCAATAAACTCTGTTTTTGCAACAACGATGGGTTAACAATGCTGGTGGCGGCTTAAAAAAAAACCCTCAACCAACCGTCAACAACCCCAACTCACACACACACACCTTTACATTTCATCGTTCTAACAATGTAATGAAATGTTCGTTACACATTTTTGTAACAAATTTTCTGTTTTGGGGCTCTTGTGTATTTCCCGAAAAAAAAACTCAACAACAAATATCCACAACATTGGGCATGAAAAAAAATCTAAACGTTGAACGTTTATAAAACTATAAACTGGCAGCCGGATAACGGAAATGCTAAAAACATAAAAACCACCAGCAACAACAACCAACAGCAAGAACAACAACAGCATCAACTAGAACACCAAAAATCCAACAAGAGTGGTGGCTCAAATGTTAGGTCCACCGCCATCTCAACGACTGCTGCGAGCATCAATCCCCCAGCAACTGCTCCGAATAGCAAAAACAATAACATCAAGAAAACCAAAACCAACACGGCCCGGAAACTTCTAAAAGCCAATGATAAGAAAAGTAGAATATTTATAAAAGTAAGTTCTTTTTTTTTACTTTGGGTTTTGTTTTCTTGTTTTTGTTTTTTTTTCTACTCTCATTTCTTGTTCTACATTTTGTTGTTGTTTTATGCTCTGGCGCCTAACTCCCTCTTGGGGGGAGGGGTTATTGCGTAGGTTAACGTTTAAAGTTTAACATTTCGTTAATGCTCGCACGTTCGTATACCATCCACGCTCAAAATCATTGTGCCAACGATTTTCATTCGTTTCCATACAAAACACACATCCACCAACCCACTCTCAAACTCAGTTGTGGGTTCGGATATAAAGAGTATTTTTCCAAATTTAAATTTTGAAATAAACAAGAAATTGTTTTCGAATTGGTTTTCAACTGAAAGTAAACATGTTTTCCTCTTTTCGCTTTACATTTATTTGTGAGACATTTTGGGCCCATGTGAGACATTTTCACGACATTCTCATCAAATCGTTATCAGTGCATTTTTTTAAATAAAAACCATGATAAATTTGACGTTGCTGAATCACAGGCATCCTTCACAGTGGACAATAAATTGTGGGACAAATATCAACCTCATTAACTCCAATAACTTTGATCTCGTCCTAGACAAATTTTAGGATTAAAATTTGAAAAAATATATTTTTTTAATGTATCATTAAATGTGAAATATAAGTATTTGGACGGTATTATTGGAAAATGTGGATACATGTGAAATTTTTCTACAAAATTTCGGACATATGGTTCTAAAGGCTCTATAGGTCCATAATTTTTTATAACCTTCACTAGAAAGTCCTAATAAAAATTCCAAATAATTCCATTGAAAAATATGGCTAAAATCAACAGGAAATCTTTTTCTATGAAATCATACCCAAACGTGGACCCGTACACCCAATTTTATATCCCATAAAAATTTCAGAAATAACATCTAAATGGACATTATGGTGGAGGGAAAAAATGTCGAACTCTTGAACATTCTAGGAGGAAGAATTCCTTGTTGTCGAGACTTGATTTATTGTATATAGGCCAAAACGGCCAAAAAGTTCCAAAACTCTATCAATTTAAAATCCCCAATTTAGAATACATATATATATTTAAATACAAATAAACCGTAATATTAATCTGGAGAAGTACGGGATTAGGTCGGCCATTATTTCGAACCATTGCAAACAATTCAATTAAAATAGTAACAGTCAGTTTTGCGAACAGATGTATACCCACAGCCTTGATGTAAACCGGGATCAATTAAAAGACACAAAGTCTTTTCCATTTGAGCGTTTGTAAGACACTAAATTTATTTATTAAAAACATTCTTAAGAACTAGTTGTGATAATATCATAGACAAATTAAAGTATAGACTAAAAAGTTGTCTCATCTGTTATCTTCGAAAAAAGTGCTTCAATAGATGTCGTTCATGCTGTAAGAGAGGTTCAGTAGACTCACTCAATTCTCTCACTATACAAAATATTGAATATTTTTATGATACTTTAATATTTATCAATTAAAAACGAAACCGTGACTTTGTTTACATTGACATTACCCAACTATGTCGTGAAATAAAAAAATATAGAACTTAAATAGCAGAAAAATTAATAAATTGTTTTCGAAGTCGAGTGACTTCACTATCCCTGAGTGACTTAACTGTCCCAAGATCAACCATAGTGACATCTGGCGGAAGGGGTAAATTTTAAAACTTTTTAGTCTATACCTTAATTTGTCTATGATAATATGACTTAATCTAAATTATAATTAAGTGTAATTGAGAGAGAGAGATAGATACCAACCGTACACATGCATATGCACCATGTACCATAAACCTAAGGGGGAGGTCATACGCACGCATAGCTATCTCACATGTGGCAAGCAAACATGCTGCACTTGCTTATCAGTCTGAGTAAAGATTACATCCCATAATCTAACTCCTCCATAACACATGCAGCAATTGAAAATTCTGTATTATTTATTTCTAACTCGAAGGTCTGCTCACCAAATTTTCTGATCTTATTTCATGTGGACTGTATTAAGAAGATCCCAGTTTAACAAATCCCTCTCATCTACACTAGGTAGCCCCGATATTCTCTTTTATTATAAAAATGTGTTCACTTATCCGTGAACACTTGAGTTATGATTATTCAAACTGTTAACCCAATGTTTACCAATTCGTATATGACCTAAGACTTATATAAATATTACCACGTGCAGGCTTTGGACTATATCCACTACTTCCTTTGCTTTATATGAGATATAGAGAGCCGAAGAATTCCATTTTCTTTACGGATATTCTAAATGTTGACCCTATATTACATTTTAACCTTGGATTAATAAAAATATTGTGATGTGTGAAATTTGAAGACAATCGGTCTCTTACTTCATATTTTATAAGAGTTATAATTATTTAAAATGTTCATCCTTTGTGAGGAAGGTACTTGATGGAGTGGACCGATATTTTCCATTTACGCTCCTAACCTAACACAGATGCAAATATAAGGATTTGCAAAGTTGCAGCAAAATCGGATTAATGTTTCTCTTTCTGAGCAGAAAATATTTTTTGAAAATTTCAACATTTTGTGGGGGTAGTACCAGAATGATTGCAGCGATATATTCCATTTTAACGCCAGACCTTGTGTTAAAGAAAATATTGGGATGTGTGAAATTTGAAGACAATCAGACTACACACCTCAGATTTCATACGAGTTATAATTATTCAAAATTTTAACTCTTTGTGGGGGAGGTACTTGATGGAATGAAACGATGTTGTCCATTTTCGTACCTGACCTAGCACTAATGCAAATCTTGTTATTTGCAAAGTTGGAGCAAAGTCGGATTATCCTTTCTCTTTCTGTGCAGTAAAATATATTTTTTTGAAATTTTCGACCTTTTTTGGGGGAGGACCCAGAAGAAGTGAACCGATGTTGTTAATTTTCGAACCTGACCTAACACTAATGCAAGTGTTGTTATTTGCAAAGTTGCAGCAAAATCGGTTTATCCTTTCTCTTTCTGTGCAGTTAAATATATATTTTTGAAAATTTCGACTTTTTTGGGGGAGGACCCAGAAGAAGTGGATCGATATTGTCCATCTGCGGTCTCAATCTAAGTTTGAAAATAATATTACGATGTACCAAGTTCAAAATAAATCGGATACACCCTTCGAAAGTAATCGTCGATTTAGCCCGTGGTAAAGGTTGCAAAATCGAATTATTGTCATCGATTTTCAATATATGTTATTCTTTTAATAAAACCCCAAAAAATTAAAAAAATGGTCTTATCACCTACGGAAAAAGGTAATAAAAATTGATTTGGTTTGAAACATCAACATCAAAAATAAAATAAAAAAATCGAAAAAGAATATTTACTCGAATATCAAATTCAGTGACTTGCTTTTGAATTGTTTAGTGGTACAAAAACACCGAAATTATAGCAAAATACTCATGAATATTGGCAAAATCACAATTTGTATCCAAAATTTTAAATTTTCGGTAAATTATTCTCCTCCATATTTTTTAACAATGATTCTGTTATACACTCCACCTTAAAAAGGCGTATATATTAACTTTGTCATTCCGTTTCTAACATCCTTGAATATTCGTCGTAGACCCCATAAAGTATACATATTCATGATCAGCATAAAGTTCTAAGTCGATATAATGATGTCCGATACCTCCCGAAATTCGATATTTGTAGGTATTTTTAGTTCATTTCTAGCCTGATGTCATGTAAAAAATCCAACACAGTGTTAATTGATGCATTTTGGAATATAGCCTAAAAACGAGCTTTATTGCTGATTTTATCCATTGTCAATTCCCTGTAGCCTAAATATATACTACATTTCAACTCATCAATTAAGAACGGATCGAACATAAAAAATGCATATTAAGACCAATTTCAAACGCCATTTCATTAATATTGATATCATTGCTTTTGTTGTTGTTATGGTTGTTGTTTTTAATGTTGGTATTTCTAAAAGCTGACATATCGAGTTTAATGAATCTAACTTCTTTCTATTAAATGACATTGTTATTGCATGATAATTGCTCAATGCGATCATCTTTTCATGCCATGAATTCACAGCATGCACTTTTATTATATGAAGTTATTTTTATTGAATTATGTACAATATACATGAAGATTTGAAATATTCTATACAATTTTAAAAATGTTGACTCCAAATTAAGATGAGATGGAGTATTGTACATATTTTGAAAATTCACTTGGAATTCATATAAAGAATTGATGGTTACATTATTTTTTAATGGAAAATAAATGTGAAAATTTATTATGCCAAATGGAAATTAACATTTATATAAAGGCTGTAATTAAATCTTAGCCATAAAGAAATAAAAACAAGGAAGAAACAGTTAAATTCGGCGAGACCGAGCTTTTTAGACCTTCCACCATTAAAAAAATTTACACTTGAAAACTATTACGTTTCACACTGGAGGTACAATTATTTATTGGATATAGAACGAGTAAAAAAGCTGTAACTTCGGCCGGGCCGAACTTTGAATACCCTCCACCATTTGGAACGAATTTGGGAATTTTCAAAAAAATAAAATCCGTTAAAAATTCTGTTATAAACGACGACATGGACCTGCATAGGCAACTTTTGTCATGAGCTATTACAATATTCAAATGCGAAACTTGAAAAAAAAAAAGATCGGTGAATAATTTAGCTAAAATCATCAAAATACCGAATATATGGAGGCACCATTATATGGGGGTAATACCAAAAAGTGGATCTGCACAGACAATTTTTTGTCATACGCTGTAGTATCCATTACGAACTTCAAATACGGAATTTGAAACAATTCCGTTGAATAATGTCGCTAAAATCATCAAAGTATCGAACTTCGAGAGATACCATTATATAGGGGCTATACCAAAACGTGGACCTGCACAGACAATCTACTGTCATAGGCTGTGCTATCCATTACGAACTTCAAATACCAAATTTAACACAATTGCCGAGAATAATGTCGCTAAAATCATCAAAATACCGAATATCGGGAGGTACCGTTACATGGGGACT